AATATTTTCCCACAAACTCTTAAAGGCATGAGTTGCAAAAGCAGGTTTTGTTCTGAAAATTCAGCATGAGTTAGTAGTAAGAGTCTATCCATGTGCAAACTTCAGCACAGTCTAACAATTTAAAGGCAATCTCCAAATCAGGAAACTCCGAGTTGAATGTTTGCAATCTTATATGTAGTCTCTTGATTCTATTATATATTCTTTGAAAGATTATTAACCTCATTTTCTAAATTTGTCACAGTCTGACCATGCCTCATATGGATTTAATGGATAACCTTTATTATAAATTTTGCGCATAAATTTTAATAGAATATTCAAACCTTGTTCAGTGTTCAATTATTGAGCCTCTATCTCTGAAAATACTTCACACCTCATCTTAGTTCTAGTAACAAGCAGCAGTACCAAAGACATACCTTGCTTTTCTCTTAGTAAAGACATAACCTGTATCCTCTATATCCACTTCATTTTTCCACTGACCATAAGATTTGGCTTCACAGACATCAGTATAAAGTAATATCCCAATACTTTGATCTTAGTTTCAGCCATTCTTCTCCAATAGAACTCCAATTGCAATCTTCTGTGTGTAAAGAATTCTTAGTTTCCAATCCTCTCCTGAGGCAACATGTATTCCCTCTTTTATTTATATTTTGTAGTCGACCTGTTGACAGATGTTATTACACATCTCTACAGCAAGTGGGATAACAAGGTGTAGAAGTGGATGAACACAGCAGGCCAAGCAGCATCAGAGGAGCAGGAAAGCTGACGTTTCAGGTCTAGACCCTTCTTCAGAAATGGGGGAGGGGAAGGGGATTCTGAAATAAATAGGGAGAGAGGGGGAGGCGGATAGAAGATGGATAAAGGAGAAGATAGGTGGAGAAGAGACAGACAAGTCAAAGAGGCGGGGTTGGAGCCAGTAAAGGTGAGTGTAGATGGGGAGTTAGGGAAGGGATAGGTCAGTCCAGGGAGGACGGACAGGTCAAGGAGGCGGGATGAGGCTAGTCAGTGGAAGATGGGGTTGGGGCTTGAGGTGGGAGGAGTGGATTGGTGGGAGGAAAGACAGGTTAGGGAGGTGGGGACGAGCTAGGCTAGTTTTGGGATGCGGTCGGGGGAGGGGAGATTTTGAAGTTTGTGAAGTCCACATTGATACCATTGGGCTGCAGAGTTCCCAATCTAAATATGAGATGCTATTCCTGCAACCTTCGGGTGGCATCGTTGTGGCACTGCAGGAGGCCCAGGATGGACACGTCATCCACGGAGTGAAAGGGGGAGTTGAAATGGTTCACGACTGGGAGGTACAGTTGTTCATTGTCCTTCCTCCCACCTATCCACTCCTCCCACCTCAAGCCCCACCCCCATCTCCTACCTACTAGTCTCATCCTGCCTCCTTGACCTGTCCATCCTCCCTGGACTGGCCTATCCCCTCCCTAACACCCCATCTACACTCACCTTTACTGGCTCCAACCCTGCCTCTTTGACCTGTTTATCTCCTCTCCAACTATCTTCTCCTTTATCCATCTTCTATCCATCTCCTCCTCTCTCCTTCTTTATTTCAGAATTCCCTTCCCCTCCCCCATTTCTGAAGAAGGGTCTAGACCCGAAACGTCAGCTTTCCTGCTCCTCTGATGCTGCTTGGCCTGCTGCATTCATCCAGCTCTACACCTTGTTATCTCAGATTCTCCAGCATCGGCAGTTCCTACTATCTGTACAGCAAGTGGGACTGGACCATGGACGTTCTGGCTCAGAGGCAGGCACATTGTCACTGCACCACAAGGCCCCCTGCTCCCTCTTTATGTCTATCCAATCAGCTAATTAATCAATTAACCCCAATTACTTACTTAACTCCTTTTTCATTAACACTGTCAGCCTCCCTTTAGAGAGAGGTGGGCATGAAAGGGGAAACAGAACTATATTTCCCCCTCCAACTCCATTTTGATTTAGTCCTTTCCCTCTCTTCTTACCTCCCCCTCACTTTTGATGGTTTGCATTGTCCTTAACGGGCATTTCATGTAAATATTCAATTCGCTACAGATGTTTTACTGATGGTGATTAAAAAAGCAAAACAAAAGTCACAGTTATTTTGGTGGTAAGAAGACGGTCAGTTGTGTATGATAACACTTCTGGGTAGATTAAAAAAAAAAAGAGCACTGCCTGCTTATGTCTGGCAAGTTGAAATGAGATGAAGCTTCTTTGTTCCAGGACAAGGTTGTACATGATTTTATTGTTAAATATATCATGATGTAATTTCTATACAGTTTCCATTTATTAAAAAAGTTCTAAAACACTGCTTGGATTGTCATTGCCTATGGAACACTTAACATCTGTTGATATGCAAGTGACTGAGAGTGGAAACCTGGGGTCAAAGGTTCATAAAACTAGAAAAATGTTGGATACAATGTGTGCCTCGGGCATCAATTACACCAAGAGTGTAAACTCTGTTTCTACAAAGATAGTACTACAGTCCTCTGTACTGAAATTAAAATATGACAAAATCTATTGGAGATTTCATATAATGCTTGATAGGCTGCCTGATGAACTGGCAACTGCACTTGGACACCTCCTTGTAGTCGGTTTCCTTTCCTTAATACCTAATGTATGTAGTCAAACAGGACGATCTTGGTGTCACATAGGTGACTATTTCTGAGCAAGTAAAGGAACAGACGTAGCAGGACTGGCTAGACAGAGGATGTGAAATCAGAAACATTTTGGAACAACATATTTGAGTAGTTTGAAAGAGTAAATACAGAAGGAATGCAACTAAATTGTACTTTTAATTAGTTCACATGTATAGCATAATTCAATAGTCAATGGTGATAACCCAACTAATAGAACAGCATTAGTCAGATTGGCATGGCATCTCAATTGGCAGGATTTGGAATGGGCAATCATGGATGAGGTCAAAGTAACATTAATGACTGAATAATTAATATTGCCACAAATTAGATATATCAACTTTCAAAAGGACAGGCAACATCTATACAAAGAAATAGAGTTATCATACATGACAGGTTCAGTGTCATCGACCTGAAATGTTCACTCCATTCCTCTTCACAGATGTTGCCAATCCTGCTGAGAGTTTCCTGTATTGTCTGTTTTTATTTCCATTTTTCAGCATCTGCAGTACTTTGCTGCCATGCGCGATTCCCCAGACTGTAATTCCCACCAAATGAGATTCTACAATTAGAGTACAGTCTCTGAGAATCTTGACTTTGAGTGAGGGACAAATGAAAGTTGAATCCCTAAGTCTCTCTGCTCCCAGTTTTTTGCTTAGCACTCAAAAAAAATAACGGATTCTGTCATTAAAAAGTTAGGAAGGAGATTCACACCTTGCGATATAGCTCTCTTTAGCATGAGAGATCTCTGTAGTGATTTGAAAGCTGGCTGATTGTGCAGGCATTTAGCAACAGCTAGACCAGGTAGGTGAAAGATAATTTTGTTGAGGTTTAAAAATAATTTTAAAAATGATTTCTATATGGCACTTCCCCAACCACCTCAGGTGAATAAACTCAAATTATTTTAAAGGAAGATGAGTAGGAAAAAATCAGCACTCAAACTACAGAAAGAATTCTTGATAAAGGGGAAAATATTTGAATGTACAATAATATTTATTCCGAAGGAGATATTTTTGATACTAAATTAAAGTGATGCACCCTGTGTCCCATATTATGCTAGATGATTTTGTTTGTGATAGTTCCTGTGTTATTTTCCTCCCTAACTGTTCAGAAACTTAAATACATATAACTCACAGTAGGCATAATATCCAGGCTGACAATTACTGAAAGCTTTCATACAATACAATTATTTAAATACAATTTTCTAACAAACAAGTTAATGGAAATAAATTACCAGAACAATCATTCTTGTAGAACTAAGTCAACTGCAGATGTCTTAAATTGATGTGAGTTTTATCAGTGCATAGCTGAGTTTTTAAAAGTGTTTCCCTTGGTACTCTGTGTGCATTGAGTGTATATTGCATCTGTCTTCTCTAATTTTTCTCTCCCAGCTTCCAGAGCACTAAGGATTGCTGTAATTACCTGGAGTGCTTTCCTTTCCTTTCCTTACTGGATTTTCCACTAAGACAGGATGTTGATGTGGTTTATTTTAATTCATTTAATTGAAACCACAACTGCTATCACACTGAAGGAAGGGGACAGTTAGCTTAGTCACAAATGATACAGCTGCAGCAATTACTAGCATACAAGGTGTCTAAGGTTTCATTGTTCACCTGAGCCTCTCACTGGTGTTGCAATGGAACTAAGCTGAGAAAAGAAAGAAAATATTCTTCAGTTTTCTCCTAATTCTGCAAAACATAGTACATTACAAAGGTCAAATTACAGCAGCAAGACAAATATCTACTTCGTCTTATTTTCCACATGTATCACTTCTTGTTGCAAACAGAGTGCACAATTGTAGGGCTGGTTTTTCTCTCAATTATCTGTCTGAATATAAGGAAATTGTATTCCCTTTAGGCTCTGCATACATCTGGCCACAGAGACATGGAAGGCAATACACAGGCCACTCACAAGCTGTCACCACTTAAAATGCTGGTTGTTTACATGGAAATCGTCTGCAAACATTGTTTGA